GGGGGGAGGGAGGGGGGGCGAGTGTGGCAAGCCGAACCCGGGCTGGGGTATGGTCAGGGTAGGGTGCAGAGGGAGGGAGGGAGGGAGGGAGGGAAGGAGGGGGAGAGGGAGGGAGGGAGGGAGGGAGGGGAGAGGGAGGGGGGAGGAGGGAGGTCATGATCGCGATCACGCTGACGATCATGCGGGAGGGGCGAAAGGGGGAGGAACAACGGGGGGTGCGGGTGGGGCAGGGCATGGGGAAAGGCAGGCAAAAAAAAAAGGAGGAGAGCAAGGCAAGATGGTACGTACCCTTCTTGTAGTCGGCCGAGCCCTCGTCCGACTCAGAGTCCTCTGAGAGTGGCTCGGTGGTGGAGAGCACGCCGCCCGGAATGGCGTCGAGCTCGAGGTCGGCGTCCATGGCCAGCAAGGCAGCAACGGGTGCCGAGGGGCCTGTTTTTTTCTTGGACTTGTTTTTGGCCGCTCCGGCCGTCCCACCCGCCGCAGGAGCAGGAGCAGCACCGGCGGCAAAGCCATGGCCTCCGGCCTTGTGCCCGCTCGTGGTGGAACCGCCGTCGCCGCCTGCAGCAGCCGTGCCGCCTGCTGCGCTGCCGCTGCCTGCCCCCGCGCCGGAGCTGCCTCGATCGCCGCCCGCCCCGCTCTTCTTGGGTCGGAAAGGCGGAATGGCCTGGGTGGCGAACCGCGAGGCCTTGCTCTTCTTAGTCTTCTTCTTGCCCGTCCCAGACATGCCGCTCTGCTGCCTACGGGCCTTGCAACGTCCGCCCTTGCCCGCGACAAGTGTACCGCTTCTCCCGCCCACACGCCCTCGCTCCCGGCCTGGCCCCCCCCCCCCCTCTCCCGCCCGTCTTCCTCTCCAACACCGCCTCGCCCGCTCCTTGCCACTTTGTCAGCCGTCACTCGCCATTATTCGCGCCCTCGCCTCATCACCCCTATATTGATTGCTGGCACGTCGCTTCCGGCTACCTGTCACCGCCTGCCAAACTCGCCGAGACCGGCATGAACAGCTCAGCGCTTTGCCACCCGCCCACTGACACGCCGCCGTACAGCTGTAGGTGGGAGGAGAAGCCGGGCGCGGCCGCAGAGGCAAGCCCATGGTGGTGGTGGTGGAGTCGGCGGTGACTGACCCTGTCCATATTTTTGCTCGACCCGCACGCGCAGTCTCGCCTGCCGAGACCCACCCAGCATAGCAATGGTCCAGGCCAGCGAGCCGCGGGTGCGGTAGAGCGACAGGCAGCATGTAGGGGGTGCACTACATATGGCATGGTAGCTGTTGTTCACCTAGCATCCGTGCAGTTTGGAAGAGCGGGCTGTGTCCTTAACCGCTTGCCGAGAAAAAACGACCCAAAAATTGGCTGATGTGTGTGTCTGTGTGAACATGGATGGCAGGAGAGGAAGCCTTCCCGTTCGGGTCACATTGGGCCGCAGGACGCGTCGCAGGACAGCCGTGACTCAACCACCACCACCACCACCACCACCGCCACCACCGTCAGCCACCACACCTCGCATCCAGCAGTCACCACACTCGACTCTTCGGAAGTAAGCCATGGCCGAGACGCACCCAGGCGAGAGTCCAAGCACAGCAGCTCCGGGCGGAGGAGCAGGCGGAGCTGGCGGAGCTGGCGGCGATGGAGCAGGCGACAACGGAGTGGCAGCAGGCGCTGGTGACCGGCAGCAGCCTACGGTGGACGAGATCGAGGCCGGATTCCGGGCTGTGCAGGATGCGATCTGCTCGTTTTTGGAGGAGATGACCGGCGAGACGTACACCGAGGACGTGTGGGAGTACGAGAAGGGGACCGGCGGCGGGCGGACGCGGGTGTGGGAGGGTGGGGCCCATCTGGAGAAGGCTGGCGTCAACTGGTCGGGCATTGCGGGTGACGACCTCCCGCCGTCTGCGCAAAAGGCCTTCAACATCCCGCCAGGCACCCCATATCGCGCCACGGGCGTCTCGCTCGTCATCCACCCGCGATCGCCGCTCGTTCCCACCATCCACGCCAACATCCGCTACTTTGCCGCCGGCGACGCCGTCTGGTGGTTTGGCGGCGGCATCGACCTCACCCCGTACTACCCAGACATCGACGGCGTCATCGCCTTTCATCGCAAGCTCGCTGACCTCTGTGCCGCTCACAGCGTCGACTACGCCGCCGCCAAGAAGACCTGCGACGAGTACTTTTTCCTCCCGCACCGCCAGGAGACCCGCGGCGTCGGCGGCCTCTTCCTCGACCACCTCAACACCGATCCCGCTGCCCACTTTGACTTTCTCTGTGCTCTCGGCCACGCCTTTGCCGATCTCTACGGCCTCTTCCTCACCTCGGCCGCCCTCACCGCCCCATACTCGGACGACGAGCGCGAGTTCCAGCTCTATCGCCGCGGCCGCTACGTCGAGTTCAACCTCCTCTTTGATCGCGGCACAAAGTTTGGCATCCAGTCGCGCGGTCGGACAGAGTCCATCCTCATGTCGCTCCCGGCCACTGTCAACTGGAAGTACAACTGGGCCCCGAGCCCCGGCTCGCGCGAGGCAGTCCTCTACGACCACTATCTGCGCCCGCAGCCGTGGCTCGACCTCACCGACGACGAGCGCGACGCCATGCGCCTCCCGCAACACTAAAACTGCGCGTCCTGGCTGGCTGGCTTGGGTGTGCCCTCCTTTTACAACCGCTCAGCATCGCCGTCGCTCGACGACGACGAGCCGGAGCTCGAGCTGGAGCTGCTAGGCTGGGACGACGACGACGACGACGAGCCGGGGGCCCGCCTAGACCCTGCTGAGCTAGCTGCAGAGCTCTTGGCCGATGCGGCCGATCCAGAGCCCGAGCCAGACGCCGCTGATTCGTCAGCCGAGCCGCACGACGCATCCGATACGTCGGAAATCGCGATCGACGCCACAGAAGACGCCACAGAAGACGCCGTAGAAGACGCCCCAGACAGCGCCCCAGACAGAGCCTCGTCAGCAGCGCCTACGGTATCGGCCTCGTCAGCCTCATCAGCCTCCCAGCTCTCGGTCGTGTGCGTCGTAGTCTTGGTTACCGTCGTTGTCGTCGTCGTTGTCATCGTCGATGGCGTCTTCTTCTCTTCGCCAGCCTTCTCAGCCTCGTCATCAGCCTCGGACTCGGCCTCGGACTCGCCATCGACCTCGGCATCGCCATCGACCTCGGCATCGCCAGCGACATCGCCATAGCTGTCGTCATCATCAGAATGAAACTCCAGATCGTCCACGCCGGCAACCGCAACTGGCTCGGCGTCAACACCGTTCCCGCTCGCCCTCACCTGCTCATCGTCACCGTCACTGCTGCCTGCAAAGTCATATTCCGGCTCGTCATCGCCGTTGGCGTCCCACTTGCGGGCAGCCGAGGCGGCGTAGCGCGAGACGTTGGCCAACTCGGCCTCCTCGTCGTAGTAGTCGTCGATGTCGATGCCGGCCCGGGCCATGGCGGCCTCAAACTTGGCTTGAGCCCGCTGCTCGGCAGCTTCGATTGAAGCCGTCTCAAAGAGGAACGGCCGGGCGTCGACCCTAGCACGCATGGCCCGGATCGAAGCCTTGTAATCGGCCTCGGCGCGGGCAAAGGCCTTCCGATGCGCGGCGACCTTCTTGCGCTTGCGCGCCTCAAACAGGTCGATGTTGTCCTTGAGCTTGGGCACGAGCTTGCGCGCGAGCTTGGCTCGCCGCTTCTTGATCTGAGCCAGGTGCTGCCGCTCGGCTTCCGCCGCAGCCTCGCGCTCGCGGGCGCGCTGCTTAGCCACCTCGACCTTGAGCTGCGCCGACCGGGTCCAGCCCGGATCAATGGAGCACCCATAGTCGGGCATGGGCGTCGGCGCGATCTTGGCGCGCGGCGTAGCGTACGGCCACCGGTTCTCGACCAGCACCTCTTCGTCGCGCTCGATGTCAGCCAGGACTTTGCCTGTCGTGTCGATGCGCTCGGTGCGGAAGTTGAACGGCTTGGCCTTGGTCGGCTTCCGCTGATGCTGCCGCTTCTTGAGCGCCGCGTCAAACGCTGCCTGCTTGGCCGCAAAGTCGGGGATCTGAGTATTGATCTTGGGCGAAAAGGTGAGGTCGTTGTGGGCAGCTCCACCGCGGAGCCGCACCAGCTCGGCATCCGGCGCCGCCCCGGTGTTGCCCACTGCCACCGACGACGGCCGGTGGCCCTGAGCCTTGATTCGCGCCTCCTCCTCCTTGAGCTTGCGCACCTTTTCGGCATATGCCTGGTTGTGCGCCTCCATCCGCGGCGGCAGCGACGCGGCCTTGAGCAGCGCCTGCGCCCGTGCGTTCACCCGCTCCTTGCGCCGCTTGTTCTTGTCAGCCTCGATCGACTCGACAAGCGCCTCCTCGAGCCGGACCTCGGCCGGAATCGGGTTGGCCACAAACGGCGCCACGGGCTCGGGCGACGGCGTCCGCGCCTGCACCCGTGCCTCCCACATCTCTTTGTCGCGCTGGTAGAACGAGAACGGCTTCTCGCGCGCAAGTGTGATGGCCTTGCTCCGCTTGCGCACCTCCTCCCGCCGCCGCTCCTGCTTCTGCATCAGCCGGTCAAACTTGGGAATGAGCACGTCGGCAGGAATCGGCTTGGCCTCAAACGACGCATTCATGGCGGCACTCTCCTCGATCTCGCGCCGCAGCGTCTCGGCCTCCAGCCGCTTCTGCGACCGCGTCTTGGGCGTCGACCGCATCGTGAACGAAAACGGCTCCGGCACCGTCAGCTGCGGCTTCCATCGCATGCCGCCCGCCCGCGCCCTCGCCCGCCGCCTGGGCGAGCCGCCCGATGCAGAGCCCATCGACACCTC